ATATCGGGAGGTACCGTTATATTGGGGCTATAGGAAGACGTGGACCGGCACAGACACTTTTTTGTCATAGGATGTAGTATTCATTACGAACTTCAAATACCAAATGTCAAACAATTCCGGTGAATAATGTCGCTAAAATCATAAAAATACCGAATATCGGGAGGTACCGTTATATTGGGGCTATACGAAGACGTAGACTTACACAGACAATTTTCTGTCGTGAGCTGTACTATCCATTACGAACTTCAAATACCCAATTTGAAACATTTCCGGTGAATAATGTCGCTTAAATCATCAAAATACCGAATATCGGGAGGTACCATTATGTGGGGGCTATACGAAGACGTAGTCTTACACGGACAATTTTCTGTCTTAGGCTGTAGTCGAATCGAGTCGTTACGAAATTCAAATACCAAATTTGAAACAATTCCGGTGAATAGTGTCGCTAAAATCATAAAAGTACCGAATATTGGGGGGTACCATTATATGGGGGCTATACGAAGACATACACAGACAATTTTCTGTTTTAAGCTCTACTATCCATTACGAACTTCAAATACCAAATTTGAAACATTTCCGGTGAATAGTGTCGCTAAAATCACCAAAATACCGAAAATAAGGAGGTACCATTATATGGGGGCTATAGCAAAACGGGGACCTACGTGGCCCATTTTCAACACCAAAAGTCCCGCAGACATAATATACATTTGAATAACATTTTTCAACCTTCTTCATTTCGTTCGGAAGCTAGAGTGATTTCCACAGACGGATAGGCGGACGGACATCGCTAAATCGACATATAATTTTATGCTGATGAGGAATATATATACTTTGTGGGGTCTAAAAGGTATATTTCGAGGTGCTAGAAACGGGACGACAAACTTAATGTACCCTCCATGAAACCGTCACACACTGCCCGAATGTTGCTCTGCTGTGTTATGGCCCATTTCCGGCGAAGCGCTTGCTTGAGGTAATTAAAACTTTGGTATTTTTTGTTACGGGTACTCTACTAAATACGCATAGTGCTATAGGGTATCATATAGTCGGTCCCGCCCGACTTTTGACCTTTCCTTACTGGTTATATATGTAATTATGGATGTAAGGCAGTATCGACCAGACGGTTCACATTAGTGACGAAAAGTTTTTGCTATTCACATGGATACGTCCTGAACGCACACAGTTTTTGAAGAATTGTATAAAGCCTGCCCTACACATTATAAGCAATTATATCCTGCCAGTAGCCCTAATATTCGAATAATATATACGTTCTTAGTTCTCTCTTTGAAAAATATCATGTTAATATTATTATTCGTTTTACGATTATTACGACAACCCTAATAAAGCAAAAACAAAAAAAAACATTGTCTACAATCACGTTATAAATGATATTCATTTTCAATACTCAGCAATATTTCATGTTATACCATCATTAATTATGTCTCCAAATAGCCAAAAACAAAAAAGGAAACATAAATTATGTCCTTTACGGCTTCCCAAATACAAGACAATAACGAGGCAATACTTACACGGAACGAAAAAAAAAAACGAGGGGGAGAGAAGAAAATGGAAGCAAAAAATACATAATGAAATTAAACATCCTCCCTTTCAAATAAAAGTACTCTCTCCCCACAGAAATGGGAACAATATTGAAAAGCATAAAAATAGGAATAAACATACAGCGGGCTCCAATCCGCAACGGAAGCTTTGGCTGTAAACAAACACCACATGAGGTTGGTTTCATTATTTCACTCGGCATATTTCGGCACACCATCCATGCCTTCCTGTCCTCCCTTTCAGTTGTGGCTACCAACAACAAGCCATACTCAAATAAAACAACAAATATAACAATAAAGTAGTATCCATACCAAAAAAAAACACAAACCTTTTTAAGTGTCCATATTTTCTTCCCTTGTTAGGACAGAGGAAGTTTCCTTATTTCACACCATTGCGAGAAACAACACCGCCATAAACATTTGTATAACATGATTATGAATGCCCCTCTCTTAGGGTGGTGGTTGTTTCCTCTCTTTTGTTCTCATTTTTTTAAATGGGTGGTTGTGTTATTTAGCTACTGTTTGCCGAAGACCGTTTAATTGAGCAACAGGGAGAATGAGAGTGCTGAGAGAACACTTCAAATTTGTTACACGACTGTCGGTGTGTTGGTGCTTATCTATGTGAGTTTTGTATGCCTGAGTGTTTGTTTTTGTTTGTTTGCCTTTTGGCTGAATTGTGCCGTGGAAGTCAAAAGAGGCGGAGACTATTTGTGGTAATTTATGGTAAATGAATTCATTCATAATTGGATTGTGGTGAGCAAAATGGGTACTAAAATAAACAAAGCCAAAGAAACAAACGCACACATTCCCTCTTGGCAACGAAAAGAGATGCCAGATGTGCTAGTAAACGAAATGTTCAATACATTAAAAATATAGGTATGTATGGTTAGAGTAAAAATAGTGTTGTTGAGTAGTAAATAATAATTTTATGTTTATTGAAATTATGTACATAAAATATGTACGTTTGTACCTATGTTATTAGAATTTATGGTCATGTTTACTTGACTTGTCTTACTGCTCAAATAATAAAATAGTGGGGGTCCCTACCTATTATTTTCATTTTCCAGATAAGGTATATTTAGCTAATGGCACACATACATTTGCCATAATGAATGAGACCAATGCTATCAATATTTTTTGAAGTACCTACTCGAAACTTGCAAGCTTGTAAGGGACCCTTTAAATTATGATAACGTAGGTGCACCTAAGGTCAACATGGTCGTCAATTATTTGTATTTAAAATAAAAAAGAATTTTCACTACCTAATATAAAAATAGACTTATGTAAGCTTTAAGGATACCCACTCTCTGCATACAATTTCGTTTGAGAAATTTTTTCCTCAATTTCGGCATTAGTGTTTTTAGATATTCGGTATACTTCCAGACAAAGTGGTTGTAGGTTGTATCCGAGCTAAACACCTTTTTAAAAATACTTCCAGACAAAGTGGTTGTAGGTTGTATCCGAGCTAAACACCTTTTTAAAAATTTTCACTACCCATAATTTTGGAAGGTCCAAACTACATTTTTAAATCTCCTCCTTCTGGTAACTCCCAAAACGAAAAGTCGAAATTAAAAAAAATATATTTTACTGCACAAAAAGAGAGAGGACAATCTGAGTTTGCTCTATCTTTGCAAATCCTAATATTTGTACCTCCCCCACAAAGGGTCAAAATTTTGAATAATTATAACTCTTATAAAATGTGACAAAAGAGTCAGGTTGTCTTCAAATTACACACATCACATTACTTTTATTAACCCAATGTCTGGTGTAAAGATGGAATATATCGGTCCATTCCTTCTGGCAGCTCCCCCACAAAGGGGGGGAGTATCCATGAAGCCCATAAAACACGAAATTAGCATCCGATTCCATTCAGACTTGGTATATGTCAATATTTCTATCAACACAAGATCTGTTATAAAGATGAGAGAGGTCGGACCATTCCTTCTGGTACCTCCCCCACAAAGGGTCAAAGTTTTTAATAATCAAAACGATCATAAAATCCAGAGTAAGCATCGGATTCTCTTCATATTTTACACATCCCATTTTTTCTACTAACACATCTGCTGTAAAAATGGCATATATCAATCCACTCCCTCTTGTACTTCCCCCACAAAGGGTCAAAATTTTGAATAGGCCTGAAGATCATAAAACGCGAAATTAACATCCAATTCCATTCAGACTTGGCATATGTCAATATTTTCATCAACACAAGATCTATTATAAAGATGGTAGAGATCGGACCATTTCTTCTGGTATCTCCCCCACATAGGGTTTAAGATTTTGAAAAAACAAAATTAGCATAAAACCTGAGATAAGCATCCATTTCTCTTCAAATTTCACACATACTATTATTTCTACTAGCATAAGATCTGCCGAAAGGTCGGATATATCGGCGAACTCTTTCCGGTACCTTTCCCTCAAAAGGGAAAACAGACTGATAATTTTTTTTTAACTGTTTTTGTTTGTTTAATTTTTTTTAACATAGTTATAAGCCCTTAATATTCGACCTCTTTACCATTTTTTTCTTAGGCATATGAATTGGCTCGGTAAGGCTGGAGGACAATTGAAAAAATGTAAATTTAGAATAAATCCTCCTTTCTCAGCGAAATTAGTATTTTTAATTTTGTCATTCTCCTATGAAAATCTTACATAAAAATTTCCTTTTTGTATTTTTGTAGAGAATTTAAATATACAATACTTAATTAAATGGTACAATGTACGAGTAACAAATTGGGATTGAATATAAAATATTATCAACTATTTGATATCGCTCTTAAAGCAAATGCGATGATTTAGTGAATCACCCGTTTAAAACCCATTTCTTTTTTAATGAATCTTTTTTCCAATAAATATACAGCACAAGAAAAAACATACCCCATCATTTAAATACAAAAACCCTAAAAAGTTATTTTTTAACCACAAGATAAACATAAACGCCATCGCTTAACCGTTCACTGCTCACATAACCACAAAAAAACAAACACACAGGCCACAAACAAACCTCAACGAATTAGAAACCAATCCAAAGCCATGAAAATGGACATTAGCCGATATATAAATACTAGTAAAAGACACATTCATAAATGTTTTCGAAGAGGTGTGAATATGGAGAGAAATACAAAGCCATACAAACATTGCAACAACGACAAAAACAAACAACCCGCTTTTGTGCAAATTCACTCCAACTATATTATGTTGTCTCTTTCTAACCTTTGGTGTCTCTCATTGGGTGCTCATAATCAATATGGCCACCAGAGTGAAATATAACAAACAGATTATAAGGGTGAGAGAGTGTAAAACTTTTTTGTTTACCAAAACAACAACAACGTGAATGGGACACACACATACACTCAGATACTTAAAGAAGAGCAACCAAATAGTAGGGCTGTTGGTATTTGCTCTTTGTTTTGTTAAGGGGCATGGAGAAGAGCCCAAAAAGAAAACAAATGAGCTGCAGAGACACTAATGCTGTGGCCGTCATCGTCGTTGCCGTTGCTGTCGTCGTCGTCGTCGGTCGCCGTCTTCTTGCGGTGAATTAACCAAACGAGACTCAGTCAACATTTAGAACTTGACGACGACGCGTGAACGTGTGGTGGAGTAGAGTAATTGTGTGTGACGTCGCGTGTTTTGTTACCTTTGGTTCTCTGGTTCAACGTCGTCTTTGCCAAAGTTTGTTTTTCCCAAATGTAAGCGGATGAAAAAAGCGTCAACATTTACACAAGAGAAAATAAAGTGAAAAGATTTTTTAAAGCAAAAAATTAAATTATAAATTGAAAAGAGAAAAATATTGAAAACAAGAAATAACAACAAAAGAAAAAAATACAAAAATTAGCACAAGTGTTTCTAAGTACCTATTAGCCGCGTACTGTTTTGATTTACATCTCTTATAATACATATAAAACAACAAAATGCTGGTGCCGTCGGATATGATTGCGGCCCAATCAAAAATGGTCTATCAAATGAATAAATACTGTGCAGATCGTGTGCAGACACGCAAGGCCCAAATACACAAACAAATCTTGGAAGTGTGTCGCATTGTCCAAGATGTCCTCAAAGAGGTGGAGGTGCAGGAACCCCGTTTTATATCCTCCCTCAACGATTACAATGGCCGTTTCGAGGGTCTGGAAGTTATATCGCCAACAGAATTCGAAATCATTATCTACCTCAATCAAATGGGTGTTTTGAATTTTGTCGATGATGGCACCCTGCCCGGTTGTGCCGTGCTAAAGCTAAGTGATGGCCGCAAACGATCCATGTCACTGTGGGTGGAATTTATAACAGCATCTGGCTATCTATCGGCAAGAAAAATCCGTTCCCGCTTTCAAACGCTTGTGGCTCAGGCCTGTGATAAATGTGCCTATCGTGATATTGTCAAAATGATCGCCGACACAACGGAAGTGAAGCTGCGCATACGTGAACGTATTGTTGTACAAATCACACCTGCTTTCAAGTGTGCCGGCCTATGGCCACGTTCAGCCTCCCACTGGCCCATACCCGGTATACCATGGCCACATCCGAATATTGTGGCAGAGGTTAAGACTGAAGGATTTGATATGTTGTCCAAGGAATGCATAGCGTTGCAGGGTAAAAATTCCGCCATGGAAGGCGACGCATGGGTGTTGAGTTTTACCGATGCCGAGAATCGTTTGCTGCAAGGTAAGATTTGTTTTTAAAACGAGAGACGTGTATTGTATACAGTTGTGTGTATTCAAATGCCGTCGGTAAATAGAGAAGTATGATTTAAATATAGTCGATTTGAAGGTAATAGGAATTCCATCCAGTCAGGTGTTACTGAAAGATCTTTAAATGGAAGATTATGCCATCAGAAGATTCTAAACGAAGAAAAAAAAAGCTTACAGGCGACATCCGAAATACACAAAAGGCGAACTTCTGGCTTTTTTGTGTTGATTTCGTTGACGAATATAGTCAAATATCGTAGACAAACAAATCATATAGATGAGACTCAATTTGGAGACACAGAGGGCCTCTTGTTTTTGGGGATAATCTCAAAATATTTAGGGGTTCAAATGAACCAAAAACAGACAATTGTTCCTGATCACACAATTGAAGCCAATCGAAACGCCTGAGAAGAGAGCTAAGGACAGGGAAGAAGTCTAGCATTTTGGATGACCATTGGATTATATTTAGCTGTAAAATGGATCACAACAACTAACATCACGACGGAGAGCGTAAATATTGTGCAAATGTCTCTGGTCAAGAAGCTAAGGGCAACATCTGGGCAGTGCTCCATGACATAATTTCAAAAGCGAAATCTTCCAAAATGGATTTAAACATAAAGGGGTGTTGTAGGTCGACCCTCACCACTATAGCGTTTGCTTGCTTTTTTTGTCTTGAAAATGTGTCATAAAGCGACAATTTTTAGTACAGCCACGATATAACAAAAACGGTTGATTTGATCCGAATAGGAAGTATCCTAGAGGGGAAATGTTCAAATAGGTCCAAGTTTTGGTAAAGACCTCATATAACTGTACCTCCAGATTTTTTGCCGCATTTGAAAATTTTAGGTCCATTTTGTTGAAGAGAATTTTTGCAAAATTTACGAGTTTCTTCCAAATAATGGAGGATATTCAAAGTTTGGGCGGATCGAACTTAGCTTCTTTTATTCTCGCTTTGCAATTAGAATTTTTAAACAGAAAACAAAAAAATAAACTAAAAATACAAAAACAATTAAAAGAGAAGTTATGTTCGGCCGAGCCGAACTTTTAATATCTTCCACCATTTGGAAGGAACCTGAAAAATTTCAAAAAATTCCGAAAACTACAACTTAAATAAAAACGTTATATAAACGTTGTATAGTCCCCATACAAAGACCTGAACTTGCGTACGACATTTTTGCAATAGGTTGTAGTACCCATTGAGACCTTCCAATACGAAATTGGAAATGATTCCGGTGAATAAATTCGCTGAAATCATCAAAATACCGAATATCGAGAGGTTCCGTTATATGAGGGCTATACGAAGACGTGGACCTGCACAGACAATTTTCTATCTTAGGCTGTAGTATCCATTTCGAACTTCAAATACCAAATTTGAAACAATTCTGGTGAATAATGTCGCTAAAATCATCAAAATATCGAATATCGGGAGGTTCCGTTATATGGGGGCAATACGAAGACGTGGACCTGCACAGAAAATTTTCTGTCGTAGGCTGTAGTATGCATTACGAATTTCAAATACCAAATTTAAAACATTTTCGGTAAATAAATTTCGGTCGCTAAATTCATCAAAGTACCAAAAATATGAAGGTACCATTATATGTGGGCTATACGAAGACATGGAACTGACCGCACAATCTTCTGTCTTAGGCTGTAGTATCTATTACGAACTTTAGATACCAATTCCGGTGAATAAATTCGCTAAAATCATCAAAATACCGAATATCGGGAGGTACCGTTATATGGGGGCTTTACGAAGAGGCGGACCTGCACAGACAACTTTCTGTCATAGGCTGTAATATCCATTACGAACTTCAAATAACAAATTTGAAACAATTCTGGTAAAAAATGTACATAAAATAATTAAAATACCGAATATCAAGAGGAACAGTTATATGGCGGCTCTACGAAGACGTGGACCTGCACAGACAATTTTCTGTCTTAGGCGGTAGTATCCATTACGAACTTCAAATACCAAATTTGAAACAATTCCGGTGAATAATGTCACTAAAATTATAAAAATACAGAATATCGGGAGGTACCGTTATATAGGGGCTATACCAAAACGTGGACCTCCATTCCACTTTATCAATCTACTTCAATTCGTTCGTAAGCTAGAGTGATTTCCACAGACGGACAGACGGACGGAAATCGTCATAGAATTTTATGCTGATCAAGAATATATAAACTTTGTGGGGTCTAAAATGTGCATTTCGAGGTGTTACAAACGGAATGACCAACTTAATATACCCTCCATACTATGATGGAGGGAATAATAAAAAACAAGAGTACGATATAAGTTCTTCAACACCCCGCTACGTTCTTTTTTATATCTCAATAAAGCAACAATAAGGTGTTTTTAACAAATTATTATGTTTATTAAACAACCAATATTCGCCTGTTTAATTACACAAAACCCATACAATTTTATTTCAATTCCACTTTTATTGAACTCATTGCGGTGTATTGTTTAAAATAAAAAGCGGTACCGTTTCACAGATTTATGCATGTGAGAATAATTTTGAAAACGATGAACCAATACAATGGCCAATTGTCGGCTATTTTGTGTTAATTTAATTAGAAGTTATGAATAAAATTGATATAATTTACTAAAGATGTACACTCGGGAAAAGAGATTAGTTGGAGTGATCAAGAAAAAACATTAATTAATAAATAAAAAAATAAAAAAAAAAAAAAAACAAAAAACAAAAAATAACTATGCGACAAAATTTAGTTATTCCTATAATTAGGGGGAAAATCTAGCAGATTATAAAAGTAGAGTTTAAACAAGTTAAAAAGTATAAGTCGGTTTTACCGACAGATGTATACCCTCAGCCAATGTTCGATTATTTTTTAATATATATTTTGATTTCTGTTATGATTATTCAAATTGTTAAACCTCTATGGAATAAATTCCGAAGGAATGGGTCAATATTATCCATTTCGTATCGGACCTAAATAAATATGATATTATGGTTATATTCTTCACTATATATGAGATATGTGATAATTTTTAGAAAATGTTAAAATGTGATATCGTCGACCAAGATATTGGTATGGGCAAAATTAATGGAAAATCGAACATTTATATCCAATTTTATGTGAAATCATAAATTCCATATTCATCTCAGATTTCTGGTTGAGAGAAATATTTTGATATAGCAAGTTGTAAAGAACCACTGAATTGTTTCACAAGATATGAAAGATAAAAGTAATGAAAATCGTGACCCTATGTGGATGAGGTCCCAGAAGGGGTATAATGTATTTATTCCTATAATTAGGATATATAGCATCTTTACAACAGATCTTGTATTAGCAAAAATGTTTGTATGTGTGAAATTTGAAGAGAGTTGGATGTTTATTTCGCTTTGTTTTTCAAAATCTTGAACACTATGTGGGGCGAGGTGCAAGAAGAAAAGGTGCGATCTCCACCATCTTCATAACAGATTTTATGCTGATGGAAATATTGAGATGTGCCATGATTATTCGTGGATATTGGGAAACGTACCAGATAGAATGAATATACCATCTCCACACCAGATCTTGTGTCAGTAGAAATAATGAGATTTGTGAAATATGAAGAGAACCGGATGCTTATTTCAGGTTTTATCATCGTTTTGGTTATTCAAAACTTTGACCCCCTGTGGGGGAGGTACCAGTAGCAATGGTCCGATCTCTACCTTCTTTTTAACATATCTTGTGATGATAGAAATATTGAGATGTGCCAAGTCTGAATGGAATCGGATGTTAATTTTGCGATTTATGAGCTTCGAGGATATTCAAAATCTTGACGCTTTGTGGGGAACGTACAAGAAGGAGTAGAACGATATATCGCATTTTCACACCAGATATTGTGTCAGAACCTTCCCCTTCCCTACCTTCTTTTTAACATATCTTGTGATTATAGAAATATTGAGATGTGCCAAGTCTGAATGGAAGCGCATATTAATTTCGCGTTTTATGAGCTTCATGGATATTCCAAATGTTGACCCTTTGCGGGGGTGGTACCAGAAGGGGTGGACCGATATTTTTCATCTTTACAGCGGATATTTTGTCAGTAGGTCCGATCTCTACCATCTTTATAAAAGATTTTGTGCCGATGGAACTATTGAGATGTGCCAAGTCTAAATGACATCGGATGTTAATTTTGCGTTTTATGAGCTTTATGGATATTCAAAATGTTGACCCTTTGTGGGGAAGGTACCAGAATTAGGGGACCGATATATTCCATCTTCACATCAAACATTGTGTTAATAAAAATATTGGGATGTGTGCACAATCGGACTCTTACATCGGATTCACACAATCGGATTCTTACATCACATTTTATAAGAGTTGTAATTATTCAAAATTTTGACCATTTGTGTGGGAGGTACTTGATGGAGTGGACCGATATTGTCAATTTTTTCACCTGACCTAGCACTGATGGAAATATTAGGATTTGCAAAGTAGGAGCAAAATCGGATTATCCTTTCTCTTTCTGTGCAAAAAATATATGTTTTGGAAAATTTCGATCGGGGGAGGTACCAGAAGGGGTGAACCCTTTACACCAGACCTTGGTTTTATAAAAATATTGGGATGTGTGAAATTTGTAGACAATCGGACTCTCAAACCACATTTGATAAGAGTTGTAATTATTCAAAATGTTGACCTTTTGCGGATTTTTAAGATTTAAAAAGTTGGAGCAAAATGGTATTATTCTTTCTCTTTCTATACAGTAAAATATTGTTTTTGAAAATGTTGACCTTTTGTGGGGGGAGGTACCAGAAGGAGTGGGCCGATATTGCCCATCTCCGAACTCGATCTAAGTTTGATAATAATATAACGATGAACCAAGTTTGGACCAAATCGTATACTCCTTTCGAGAGTTATAGTGCACACCAGCCAGCAGACAGAAAGACGGGCGGAAGGCCATCACTAGATCGCCTTCAAATATCCTGAAACGGATTTGGTCCAAAGAGACCTAGGGTCGAAATCCTT